CTGTGTTGTCTGCAGAGATTCTGAAAAACACAGCAGTCACAGGTTCAGACCCATCGATGAAGCTGCTCAACAGCACAGAAAGGAGCTTCAGGAGAGCATAAAGGAAAAAATGAAGAAAAAATGAAGGTTTTTGATCAAGTAAAAGTCCATTTCAGTCAAACTGCGGAGCACATCAAGGTCCAGGCCCGGAACTCAGAGACGCAAATCAAACTGCAGTTTCAGAAGCTGCACAAGTTTTTGGAGGAAGAAGAAGAAGTCAAGGTGTGTGCTCTGAAGAAGGAGGAGAAGCAGAAGAGTCAGATGATAAAGGAGAAGATTGAAGCACTGAGGAGAGAGATGTCGGCTCTTTTGGAAGCGATCAGAGCCACAGAGGAGGAGCTGAGGGCTTCAGATGTTTCACTCCTTCTAAACTTCAAGATGAGAATGGACAGAGTGCAGCTCTGCCCGCAGCTGGACGACCCCCAGCTGGCCTCTGGGGCTCTCGTTGATGTTGCCAAACATCTGGGTAACCTAGGATTTAACATCTGGAAGAACATGAAAGACACAGTCTCCTACACTCCAATCATTCTGGACCCAAACATGGCAAACCCAGAATTAATCCTGTCTAAGGAACTGACCACTGTGAGGTGTCGGGGGAAACGGCAGCTGCCTGAAAACCCAGAGAGGATCAAAGGTTTCTGTGCTGTCTTGGGATCCGAGGGATTCAGCTCGGGAACTCGCAGCTGGAAGGTGGATGTGGAAAACCAGCCCAGATGGGAACTGGGCGTGTTGCAAGATTCTGTACAGAGGAACGGAGGCTTATGGTCAGGATTGTGGAGAATCCAGCTGTGTGACAACAAACTCACAGCCATGTCTCCACCTCAAATCTGTCCGCTGCTCGGAGTGAAAAACCTGAAGAAGATCAGGGTGGAGCTGGACCTGGACAGAAAGAAACTGTCCTTCTTTAATTCCGAGGCTAACACACACGTCCACACCTTCACACACCCCTTCACACACAGAGTTTTCCCTTATTTCTGGACTGGAGTTGAACTCCCTCTAAGGATCTTACCCACGGAGATAAGTGTACACAAAACCCTTCTAAGTTATAATCAAGACCGTTCCACACAAGAACATCTATTTGAAGACTAGATGAGGTTCTTTTCAGTTTGAAACCTTAAAATCTACTCAGTTCTGTGTCTTTATTTAATACCTTATGTTTTGGTAAAATGTCATGTAAGCTGCCAATGCATTTAGAGTTTTACCTTCACACAAAATCAAATCATCCAGTGGATGAATTATGTGATAAATGTTTCTGTAAAACGATCCATGATTTAAAAAACCCTAATGACTACCCAGCTGTGTCCTGTTTGGTACCAAAGGAGTAAAAGGCTTTAAAATCATTGATGCAATCTACTGCAAAATTGATTAAAGCTCAGCAGGTTTTTAAATGACATGCCGTTTTAGTTACTGTTTAGTTAATTGGGTTTGTTGGCTTTTTTACCACCAAAAGCAGCAAATAATACCTTCTAATATAATCTTATTATAAAGCTGATCTCAGTTTATTAGCAGGGAAGCCATGAATAGCTATAGAATGTGAGCCATATGTTACACCTGCTGGAAAATAAAATGGGGTCAAATGACGTTGACATGTTTTAAGCGCTGCTTCCTGCTGAGAGTTGAACTCAGGAATGTGTCAATGGAGACAAGACTTGCTCTTGACTGCATGTCATTGGCTCCCACAGTTTGGGCCATGTCTCCTCTGTGGGCCCATGAAATCAAAGAAAGGGATTTGGAAATATCTTTTAAAAAGTATTTAAGCTTAATCAAAATGTAATAAAATGTTTTTTCTGTCATTACACTTTAATACATAGTTAAAGGCTGTTTACAGTTTGCATTTTAAACCTGCTAGATTTGGCCTTTTCACCCACCAGCAGCCAGAAAGATCAGCGTTAAATATGTTTATATTGTTGGTAAGAAGTAGGTCAGAGAAGCACAGATTTACCCCAGGCTCACACCGACTTACCGTTGCGGTGCGGTGGGTGCGGCGCCGCAGTGATTCTAAGTCATTAAAAAGACGTAAACCTCTCTCACCGGCTGCTGAGCTGCCCGGCTGCGGTTAATCGAGACACTCCGGCGTTGCAGAAAATTCTGCAAGAAAGCTATCCTTGCGGCGTGCCGGAGCCCTCCGCAACAAGATCCTTATTTGGGCCGTGTTATCGCGTGAAGTTACGTGAACTCAAGTGAACTTCTGTTCTCGCTAGTTAAATCTCCGGACCTGTTGCCGGAGCCGCAGAGCCACACCGCACCATAGTCAAAAGGGCGGTGTGAGAGGGGGTGTGCGAGAGTTGCGGTCTCAGTCGGCTCGGTAACCGGAGCCAGTGTGAGCAAGGGGTTAAGCTTCTTTAGTGCTTGAGAAAAGTAAATAGCTCCATCTAGTGCCCTTATCAGGTATTGCAAAATTGCTACTAACAATTGTACTTAGACTTACAGTAGACAACATTTATTGTCATCTTGTATACACAGAGTGCATACAAAATAAAATTTCGTTTGGTACAGATCTCATGACATTTCCATTTTTTAAAAGTGCTTCAGTGATCAAATGTTTACATTGTGGGAGAAAAAACATTGTGCAAAAAAATGAGTCTGTGACATGATTTTTGAGTTTTTTCAACTTTCAGCTGTCTGATGGCGGTGGGGAAGAAGCTGCTTCGGAACCTGCTGGACCTGTATTAAATGCTGCATAGCCTATTCCCAGGGGGCAGCAGGGGGAACAAATCACTACTCTTTGCACCTTCTTCCAGTCTGCGATGCTGCCGCCTCCACACCACACAGTCAGACAGCTGGTCAGAACGCTCTCTTTGGTGCCTCTGTAGAAGGTGGTGAGGATGTCTGACATCCTCTTTATAGTCCAGGTTGTTGTCGTCTCTGATGAGGCACACCACCGAGGTGTCGTCTGCAAACTTCTCATAGGCGGATCTACTGGGGTGGCATAGGGTGGCAAATGCCAACCTAAATGACAGCCTTGCCACCCCTGCTGCCACCCCAGTTGGCGGTAGAGGTAGCGAGGCTTATGAATTATGGATAATTTGAGAATTACGACCGCTAATTTCCAATGTCGGACTGCAGTGAATGCAGCACGAGATGACGCAAGAGCGACTGAGACTGATTTGTTTTTGAAAACTAAGTGAGGCAAAGCGAGGGAGCCAGGGGGTGATGGGGAGAGGAGACACGGGATGAAACAAGTAAAAGCTGATTAACTATTTATCGAGAAATTAAAGCACAATGAAAGCACAATGTTTCTAGCATAACTACAATGAAGATTTTGAGATGATAAAAATCAGGTTGCAGAACGTTATTTCTCTAACTATGATGTTAATTAGGCCTGATGTCTCAGGCTCATAAAGAAATTTTTTCGGTCAACTATGACAGAAAAGAAACTATCAAGTTTGGCTGTACTCAGCATTGAATCAAAACGCACAAAGGCATTGGATCTAAATAAATTTGTGAAGCGTTTTGCTGAGTAACATGGAAATCACAACATTCAGGTGTTATAGTCATGTCAACTTTATGTTATGCTCTATGGTGAGCCTTTACAGAGCTGTTACATTTTGTTTTGGATGTTTGTTAAAAGCGTAAAGTAAAGTTAAAAATGTGATACTTGTGTAAATCCTGCTTAATATGAAGCAGTGTTATTGTTTCTTTTTTTGTATATATAGTATGAAACTATCCAAGAAATGACCTGTATGAACCTACTCACAAAATGTTTTGTACTTTTTCATACTGGAAGCAAAATGTATTTTTATGTTTCTTCTTTTCAGATTTGTGGAGATTTTGATGTAACATACAGTACCTGCCTTTTTGTTGATTTGTTGATACAGCAGCTCTATCTACAGCATATTGACATGCATGAAATGTCCCTTTCATGTTGCCTTAACTGCTGTATGTCAAGTTACTCAGGAAAAAATGTGTGTTCAGAGTAAACAATACATAAATGTCCGGTACCTTGTTTGGGTGCCTTGACCCATTTAGTTCTACTGTGTAGTTATGCTCACTTTAGTACAGCTCAGTCCATAGATCTCTGCTGGGTAAGTTTGTCTTTCTATAGTTTCTTCTTGTGCAAATGCTGTAAAGCTGCATCTCTGACAGTTAATTTCAAACATCTGCGACTCAGCACCTGTGTCTTACCTTAATACCTTTCCTGTGATAATACCCCTCTAGAAGTAGTGTTATCACTCTTCTATCTCCTATTAGGTGAGATCACATTGTATGATGTATTTCTAATAAGAACTGTTTCACATGAAACATTTACTGTACATACTATTCTCACCAAACTGTGATAACTGTGATTAAATTCAGTGTAAACAAATGCCATATGTTGCCACCCCTTCAAAAATTCCTGCCCCCCTCTGGCCACCCCATAAATATTTTTCTAGATCCGCCCCTGAAACTTCTCAATGTGACTGGTGCTGAACCTGGGTACGCAGTCGTGTGTCCTCAAGGTGAACAGCAGGGGGCTCAGGACACAGCTTGTTAGCCATGAGGAGACACTTTTAAACATCACTTTAAAATGCTGCCATCTTGTGTTTTTGTAAAAATATCTAACTCCTTAAAGTCAGAAGCTGTGAGTCATTCTATCATTTCACCTCATATCTTATCGACATTTTCTCAGAGGAAATTGTTCTCAAAGCCATTTATTTTTATAGGGGAATCTGGGGAAAGCTTTTTCAAGGCAAGTGTCCTCAAAAAGAAAACAAAAACAAACCAGGGAAACCTAAAAATAGAAATAGAAACCCTATTTCCCTTTATAGCTGAGTTTTAGTTCCATAAATTCAGTTAAACCATTAACCCTCTGAATGGTAATTTCTTATTAAAAAAAACAGATATTCAATTTTCTATTTTGTTTAAATAAATCATTTAAAAACATCTGAATCTTTGTGTCTTTGCTTATTTCTCTGTGTGTTTAGAAACTGCTGCTCTCCCTGGTCTTTGTCTAACTCTGCCCTATTTTGGTTCTATCTCAGAGATTCTGTGTCCGCCGGAGCGACGCTGCAGAAAGTCTACAAGTTGCTGCCGCTGCTGGCCAACAACAGGGAGAGGAGGGGCATTGCTCTGGATGGCAAACTGAAGCATGAAGATACCAACCTGGCCTCGTCCAGCATGTGAGCAGGACGTCACCACTCTGCAGCAAGCCTCTACCTCTCTGTCTGCAGGATTTCAACTGTTTGTGTTGATTTGCAGCATTAAGGAAGGACTTCAGAAGGAAGTTCTTGGAATCATGGTGTCATACAAAGTTATGGTGAAGCTCATCGTTGGAGGGTCAGTATTTTATTTTCTTTCTGTATTTAATCTAAAATGTGAGTGTTTTTTTAAGGAAACAGACAAAATAAACAAATACAAGGTTCTCAGAAGCTAAGGGAAATTTGTCCGTCTGAGGAAACTAAAAGTTAATAAAACGTACAGGAACATTTCAGGATATAAATCCATCCCTATGATGCCTCAGAGTTTAACTGCATAGGATCAGATTAATTTTTTGAAGCCAATCCGGTTACCTTATTTTCACCAGACAGTCGCATAACTTCTCTGAATCAAGCTGCAGGATCAAAAGGAATAAGCAATATTAAGCCTCCCTGACATATGTGGGCTTATGGTCCTACTATTATTGGCTCAGGTGAACCAAAGTTATCTACTGAGAGAAGAAGAAAAGTTAAATAAACTAAAGTTATTTTTCAACTAGGAAATAATTATAGTCTTCCCTTTTTGAGTTTCCTTAGAAATAAATGATCCACAATGAGAGAGAATTAGAAAAAAGCTCCTGAAGATCTGACCACCCAACCCTTTGAACTGGGGTCATAATAGTGTTGTTAGGTGTTGAGTTCTAGTCGACCTTAGATAGCCGCTGCAGCATTTTATCTATCAGAGGACGTGGAGCAATGGCTTGGTGCTCAGAACAAAAAAGACAAAGGAAAATAAAGTGTTTGATTATTTCACACCTGGTTAAATCACATTATGGAGCTCTGTGGTTGCTCTTGGTCTTGTTTTGGGGTTTTCATTTTTTCTGAAGGCTTTGTTCTGTAATCTATTTTTTATGTTTATCTCCAACATGCTGACAGGATGATGGGATCTAGGTGAGTTCAGCAGAGTTATCCTCTCTGAGAATGTCTTATTGAATATAATACAGTATATTTAAGCTAGAGGAAAACTCTGACTCATTTTTATAACTACTGTCATTTAAACAGAAATCAAGATTTTTTTTTTCTCGTTGCAGTGAGGTCGGCCTGGAGGTTCCCTTTAGACTGATGCATCCCAAACCAGACGCAGGTAGAACTTTCTTCTCAAATAATGTTATGTAAAAATCATCTGTACATCAAATGTCATTCACTGGTAACCCTTTGTTTGTTCTTTCTTGCTGCCGACAGTCAAGGAGAGGTAACTATGAGAGTATTCAGTCTAATTGAACAGCTGAGGAGAACATTCCTGTTCAACTGGTGGCTTTAATTCAGATGATCACAGATAGGATTGGGTCTCATCATCTCCTGTCATTTTAGCAGCATTCTTTCACTGCTACTCATGCTCATGTCCAAAAACGTCTATATTTGGTTGAAAAGACATTGAAAAGACAAAACAATTTACTTTTAAATGACTTCTAGATTTGTTAGAAAACTGAAAGCTGGAAAGCCGTACTTCTCAAATAGCTGAAAAGACATTAAAAAAAAACTGCCCAGTTTTCAACGACTATTTCTGGACTAAATAAAGACTAGATGGACCGACCAGATTTAGCCTAAAAACCAAGGTCTAAATGATGTCTGATATTTGGGTTTTTTTTATTCAGAAAATTAGGCCAAAAATTAAGCCATGATATTTGTTATTTAATTTCATTTAAATGTCATCTCATTTGGCTTTTTTTTTTCCTTTTCAAATGTCAATATATGCCAGTAAACAAAAATTGTGAAGACCTACAAATCAATTTACTTTGAAAATATAAAAAAAAATGTTTTAGGTGTTTTGGGTTTGAATCCAGGGCTGTGGTTCCTGTGTGAGGGGATTAGTGTTTTAGTGAAGGCATCAACCGAGACCAAGAAGTACAGAGACATTTAAGGGCAGAGACTAAATAAAGTCTTGTTCAGAGGCACAATGTGGAACAAGACTGTTAATAATACTGGTCTGTACAGCCTGCAGTGTCGACCTTTGAACTTTAGAGAATGATGAATAATTTAGAAACCAACTATTGGCAGGGTCATCTATGAGGAGATAACGATAGATTGGGAACACATTTTTAATGGAATGGGCTTGAAGGCATAAATAAATATAATTGCCTTGACAGTTGCTGTTGGGTCCAAATTGATTCTTCTTTAATTCACAGAAACTTTGTGATTTTTTGTGTTTCTATTTTTCCTCAAAGTTTTCTGACTTCACACCTGAAACATGTCCGATAGTTAATATATAAAGACGGCTCCATTTTATCTGAGTTTGTCTCTCTGTGAAGCTGTTACCGAGATGTTCCTTCTTTTCCCAGTGAGATGGAGGACGAGCTTGTGTTCCAGGAATTCAAGCGCTCCTACCTGAAGGGGATCATTGGAGCGGGCGATGATGATGATGAGGAAGGCAACGTGTCGGGCGGGGATGACATGGGGCCAAAAGAGAAGTAGAGGACAGATGGCAGAGGGGTGGTTCTAGAAAAGGTCCTTTAATGAAGGGCTGTTTAGATGTTATTTGTTGAGTGAAAAGTACTTCAGTTCCTAAAGGTTTTATTACAGAAGAGCATAAACACACTTTTATTAAAACCATGTCTCAGTTCTGCAAATTTTATAGGTGTAACAAAAAATTAACTCTGCCAAAGATTATATGGTAAATGGCATGTACTTACATAGCGCCTTTTTCAAGTCAGGAGACTTGACCAAAGCGCTTTACACTACATTCATTCACCCATTCACTCACACACTGATGATGGCAAGCTACATTGTAGCCACAACTGCCCTGGGGCTCACTGACAGAAGCGGGGCTGCCGTACACTGGCGTCACCGGCCCCTCTGACCACCATCAGTAGACAATGCAGGTGAAGTGTCTTGCCCAAGGACACAACAACAATGACAGTCAGAGCCAGGGCTTGGCCTTCATTTTCAGGGCAAACTCCTACATCCAACGCCACTGTCGCCCTACTTAAATGAAAAAAACTTTGAGGAACTTAATGTCAAGCACATATTCATGCAAGACACAAAAACAATCATCTTTGTGGTGAATTGTTAGAGGATAGGTGGAAGTTGAGAAGAAAAGAACCCCAAACATTTTGTATTTTATCTTTAAACAATAAATCTACCCATTTAAGTTCAATTCTGAAAAAAACAGCCCACAGGTAAAGATGAATTCCCCAACATTTGGAAACTTCGGTCAACATCCTGACTGGAGATGTTGATTTAAAGGCATGTTACGACAAATCCAGCCAGCCTATTGGAGAACCTGATAATGCTGTCTGATGTTTCTCCTAAGACTCCACTGTTTACACAAATTGTCTGATGCTCTGGTGCCGCCTGACTGTAGTGGTGACTTTGCACTGGCGCTTCATCCTGGGTGGTTACATTTGTTTGTATTCTAGCCAGTAGATTGCCTGGCGACCTGTGAAGGGTGTACCCCGCTTCTTACCCGTAGACAGCTGGAGAGGCACCAGCAATACTCGCAACCCGCTTGGGATGTCAATATATGCCAGTAAACAAAGAGTGTGACAGAAAATGGATGGATGGATGGATAGCCAATAGATTGTCCACTCAAGCAAACATCGATGGGGTTTGACTAATTTTATCCAAAGTGGAACCCCAACATGGGTAAAAATACAGAGAGCTCCCACCTGAAGTCCTTCTTTTTAATGCACACCAAAGCTAAATTGTTCTTTAACTCTCTCTACTCTAACTTCAATTTCCTATCTGTGTGTTCCAAAGTATTTTTAGTGTTTTTGCTACCATTAGCAATTTGATTCATCAGCAGTTAGGATTTAATGTGATTCAAACAGCTACAGTCTTTTTTTTTTTTTTTTCATTTAGGCGATCTTTTAAAGCTCACCTGCATGTTCTTCCTGCAGCTCAGTTTTTAGTAGCCATAGAAACGTTGGTGTTGAGAGCTGCAGCTTCATAAGGCTAAGACGCCTTGTCCTGTGATTGAACAATAAAAGCTGTTGGACTCTTTCCTGTTGTTGCTTTTATTTTCACCTCTTTAACACTCTGCTGATTTGAGAAATCTAATATTTTTCCCTCTGGATTTTCTACATTTATGGTTAAAACTGGAGTTTCTTATCACATTTCAGGGTGCTTCTGTTTTCTAATCTGAAATCTTTTGGATTAAAAACGCACAAATTGAACATGACTTCAATTATGTTCATAAAAGAATACTTCATTTCTTTGGGATTTCTGCTTTGTAAAATGTTCCAATTGGATTCTTTGGAACAGGTTAGCGTGAAGCAGCCAAATGAAGGAAACTTTGTTTGGGAAATTACCTCAAAAACTCAGCAGGGGACCCATAGACTTGGTTTGTATTTGAATAAAGACACAAAAATGCAGCATCTCTTGTTTTAGTGTTCCTTTTACTTTGGTGATCCAAACATTTTGCCTTTTCACACCCTCAGATGAATTACCTGAAGAATGAAGTGCTACAACAAACCAAAAAGAACAGGAGTCTCTCACTTATGATCAGTGAGTTTGTCTCAAATGATCCTCTCTTTCAGTCAGTTTCACACTCAGCTCCATATTTGAAGGCGCTTCCCTTTGAATCAGGTGCTTTAGTCAGTTACATAAATCTTTTTTTTTTAAAGCAGTCACAGAACAAATTTACACTTTAGGTAATGTCTAAAAACAACATTGAAGCTTTTGCTCAGTTTTTATTCATTTGTTGTCTCAAAAGAAAATGATAATAAAGCTAAAAAATGAGGCTGATTTTAACAAATAATTGCAAATCAACTCTACATGGGCAAAGTGCTTTGAAAGTGTTTTATGATGGAACAAAACTGAACCTCAAAAATAATAAACATTTCAGCCAGCTGGATAATCTACGCCTTTATTTAGGGGCCGACTGAATGCCTACATTAGACGCAGTGTTGAATCAGAAGTGAGTTCATCTAGACGTTTGAAAGGAGGAGAGTTTCAAACCTGTTTCTTCTTGTCATGTTAGTTTCCTCTTCATACAGTTTTACTAACTCTTCATGTTTTTTAAAAGGTCTCTGAGAATGAACCGCTTTAAAGTCGGATAATTTCAATATTCATTCAAATTTGACTGTCGAAGTTTACTATTCATAATTTTTCTGAACTGTTCAGTCAGTTTGATTTACTAAATAGCTGAAGTTCATATTCATCAGATCCCAGCATCCCTACTATTTTTTTAAAAGTATTCAATAAAGGACAGAAAGCTGTCTACCTCTCTATGTTGCTGCCTAGCTGCTAGCTGCTGTCACTACACCTTATGCTAAATATCTTCCTGTATCTAAAATGATTAAACGCTGACTCTTTATTGAATTCAAAACATTAAAATTATGCACTCTAAGAAGAAGATGTAGATGTTATTCGGCTTAACTTACGGTGTAAAATGTAAAAAATGTGTGCCAAATGAAAGAGTCACACGATAGAAAATCCTGCCACAGGCTAAACTTGCAGCTATGGATAACTTTGCAATAGCAATCAGGATATGATCGACCAGGCTTGATAAGGTCGGCAAAACTCTAAATTATTAATTTTAAATAAAAGAAATAAGCATGAAGTATTTTTTTAACCATCACATTCTGCAAACACCCCTCCTTTAAAACATGCAGCAATGATTACACAGAGGATTTGATTGGCTGTCTGTTGACACTGCATCTGAATATCTGTGACGGGGAAGGAACCTACTTGGCTTAAGGAGTGGCAGGACCACCAGGGCCATCCCAGCTAAAGCCACTTGTGGGGGCAGGGAGTGCTGGGAAAAAGCCTCTACCAAAGGCTGCATCGCAGGAATCTGGGTGCAGCAGGTAGCCAGAGAATGTGCTTTTGGTTTCACTGTCGGTGTGCATGCCGTTGGTAAGGGTGTCCTTTACCTGCAGCCATAACCTATCACCAATGTTCAGATGGAGAACAACCGTATTGCTGGTGGTAGCTTGGCTCGATGCTTCTGTTACTCTCACCACAGGAAAGAAATTTCGGAACAGGCCAACTTTCAGTGGCTTCTCCTTGGTTGCCAGGTGGAAAGAGAAAACATAAGTGCCATTTACCGGTGCTGTGTACATTCCCATGGCTGGGTCAAAGTGCCTCTGCACATTTGTTATGACTTCAGGGAAGGGTACTGGCCAGTTTGCAGGTGGGAATGATTGGTCGATGCATGCTGAGAATGCTGATTGGATGGCGGGGGAGCAGGGACCAGGTGGCCCCATGAGACCCATACCACCCTGATCTCCTTTCAGACCCACAGGACCCTGTATACCTTGTGGACCAAGGTCACCTTTTTCCCCTTTACTTCCCTTATCTCCTGGCGCCCCATTAGCACCATCAGTTCCATCTGTGCATTCACAGATCCCCTGCTCACCCTGGTCACCTTTCTGACCATTCACTCCAGGATTGCCAGGCACTCCAGTATCCCCTTTATCACCCTTCCCACCTTTAGGTCCTATAACTCCCTGGACCCCAGGCAGGCCCCGGGCCCCAGCTGGTCCTGGTGGCCCCTGCAGACCTGGTGCACCTGGGACACTCTCGCAAGAGGCAGGACATGTGCCCATTTCTCCTTGGGGACCTTGAAGGCCTGGAGGTCCCGCCAGTCCTTGGTCACCTTTCTCACCTGTAAACACAAAAATGGAGCACTCATTTGGTCTGAATTACATTTTTACATCTTAGGATCCCAGATACTTCCTAATAGAGGGAATGGGAAAATGGTGGCATTAAAGCCATTCAATTCAATACAATTTAATCAAAGTGAGTGACTAGGCCGTGCAGTGTTGCAAAATAAAACATTTTTGTCTGTAAGAAACTCTGATGGATCATTTGTACTCATTTGTCAGCACACCTTTGTATCCCCGCTCGCCTTTCGTTCCAGTGAACCCAGATGGACCAGTCTGCCCTTTCTCTCCCAAGTCTCCCTTTTGACCTGCAGATGGATATAAAGGTAAATGGTAATGCAATTAATCCATTATGCATTATGCAAAATTAATACAATTAAATAAAAAAATAGTACAATTAAATAAAGTAATGCTCATGTCCATCAGGATTTGCTGTTGTTGCAGCAATTTCCATCTGAACGGTAGAACTGTGTAAATAAGTGCCATTTAACTAATTTTTATAGTCACAACATTCATTTAATTTAACAATGCCCAAGTTATTCCTCTCTAAAGGAACAATAAATGTGGCTGTAGCTTGTATTAAGCAGTTTTAATGAGCTGCTGTAAATACTAGTAGGAAGTAGAAGGATCTCCTGTAGAGGTCAGTATTAAAGCGGCTCTGAAGCCTCTGAATGAAGAAACTGTTGTATGATGAAGAGGATGTTAAGGGTTTTCCGTAATGCTCCTCATTATTAATGAACCATAAAACAGGCTTAAATCAGAGGTAACTACAATTTTGCACAGTATCTCTGAAGACAGTTTGATTAGTCTTGGTTGCCTGCATGTTGTCATGACCTGGATGAGTGAGAATTTGCACAGGCTTTGTTCATGAGGAATCCCCCTTTCAGCCTTATATATCTGCTAAAGGACACTTTAGTTTGGAGTTTTCAGGTAAGCTAGAACATAAAACACATCCAAAGACTTTTAATATATATCGGCTCTGATTGAAGTATGGTGGTGACAGTGGCATGGTGTGGATGTGCTTCTCTGGTTTTATACCTTTTGCGTAAGTTATGGTTCTTACAGGGAGAATTCAGAGCACTAATTTTCAATGATTAACTTCCTCTGTGACTGAAAAAGTGTGTTAAGAAACTAAAATACTCCAACTAAGAGGGTTCCAACGATCCCTGGAACAGAAGTAAAAAATACAACACAAGCTCTAGGAAAGCAGTTTTGCCTGTAGAAAACTGAAGCAATTCAATCTTACTTTACTAAGTTAAATGCTTCAGCATAAAGGTCCTTTGAAGGTAACTGAAGCTATATGGATGTTACTTACCTTTAATTCCCTGGGGGCCCGTGAATCCTCGGTAACCCTTGAATCCTGTCATTCCTCTCATTCCAGGACTTCCAGGTTGACCTGATCAAAGTGGTGGTCAAGTTAACTTTCAAAAAAACAGTTTCCTTTATTGGACAATAATAAGAAAGAAAAAAAATTCTTTGGTATGAACAGCTCAACAAGCTGAAAACAATAAAGACTCCAGAGAAGATCCAGCTCTGAATGCATGCTTTGAAACTTGACGCCAAATAGTTCCTATCCTTAGTCAGATGTCTGTTGAAACTCTTTGTTTGTGTTTTCATGTGTGACGCTATTTAGCCGATAAGTATGTTGTTGCTCTGAGCTTTGAGAATAAAGCTGTTTCTCTTCAATTCCTGAATGTAAACTTTGCTGCAACGATCAAGGACTGCAGGGATGTTTAACCATCTGTTGTGTGCATCTGATAGTTAATCAATATCAACACAATGATGATATTCTGATCAACTCTATGGTTCAGAATCAACCCTCTGATTATTTGCAGTACTGCATTCCAACAAAAAAATAATAGTAAATTAATCTGTTTATAATGATATAAAAATAGAAATATATCATTGCAAAAGTTTGAAGAAATCCCCAATTGTTATTTCTGTCGAGCAAAAGCATAGATATAAGATAATCCTTTTCCTACCAGTCAAGGGCGTTTACAAATTAGTTACATTTACTCAGTTACACTGACTTGAGTACCTTATTTCCAGGAGTGGTTTTACTGTACCCTACTTTTTCGTTTCTACTCGACTAATATCATCATAATTTACTACTTCTCTCAATTGTGTACAGCTTCTGATATGCTGGTATAAAGAGACACAAAAGACCTAATCTGATGATTTTCATTTATATGATTAAAGTAGTCTGCATACCTGGAAGGCCCCGGTCCCCACGGTCTCCTTTGGGCCCCATGGTTCCTTTGCAGTAGGAGCAGATGCAGAAGAATGGGATCTGGTCGATGGAGGGCGGTACCGGCTGGCTGAAAATGATGTCACAGATTGAAGTATCTGGCTCTGGCATCAGAGGTGAGTTGGTGGCTGACATCCGTAGGCCGTTGTTGGTCATATTGTTGTCGGAGGGCAAAAACGGCATGCGTACATGCTGAGCGTTAGCTGACCATTGGGGATCTGGAACTGAAGGTGAATCCTCTCCCTCTTCAGGCCAGCGTAAAGTGTTGGGGTCGAACCCGGAGCCTTCCTCAGGTGGCATCATGTTTCTGGTCAGGTTTCGGAGCAGCATGGCTGAACAGGTGGAGGACAAGACAAGGACTCCCAGCATGCTGGACAACATCTGGAGGAAGAGGAGGTTTAATGATGGCGGATGATGAGACAGCTAACGTGAAATGTTTTTTTTTTTTCATTTATTATTTCCAAAAAGCAATTATTAGTAATATTATTTAATAATTAGTCACTACTCGTCGCAATTGCCCCCAGGTGTGACAATAAAAATCTTTGACAAGTTTTAGGAGGAGAAGAACTCACCTTTCTCTCTGAGTTGGGCAGCATCTTCACCTGCAGGGTTTTTAGGAAGATGAGCTGGACCGACCCGGCTTTGATGCATTTATAGGCGTCGTCCAGAACAAAACCGCTTTCAGGTTCTGTCTCACCGGGCAGACCCACTGACAAAAAGGTGAGGACAAATGGGGGGGGTGTCTTCATTGTCCACCTGAAGAGGAAGAACTTGGCTCTCTGCCTGCAGTTTGTCCTCCTTCATTATGGAACAGCAAAAAACATATTCAGAAACGAAAGAAGAGACGCTGCTTGATTTATCACCCCATCATCTCTCTCCACCCTTTTTTTCATACTCACATCTTTACAAAACAAGTCTGTGTTACCATGGATCCCCTTTGTTTACCTTCAGATGCTGGAATGTTCTGTTAAATAAGCGTTCACCAACATTTCGCTAGAAATCCTGCATATTATTTCCTGGTACCTCAGGTGTTCAGTTATAAGTTGTTGTTTTTTTTGTCCTTTTTTATTTCCTTTAAACTTACAAGCAAAAGTGACCAAAGTTTTACAATAAGATGTTTTGGACATAGCAACCAAAAACCCTAAATGAGTAACATTCAGGTTACACGAGTGACCTCAATTCATTGTCTATTTTTCCCTGCTTATTTTGCAGGTTCCTGTCTTCAGTTGTAAGTTAGAAATAAAAAAGTCCAACATTCAAGTTTTTTTTTCTTATTCTGGTTAAATTAGAACAGAGACTGAAGAACCACATAAATTCACTGGAAAACCGATCTAGAAATGTGTAAAAATGTCTTAAATTAAGTGAATTTATCATTAATTTAAGTAGGTAAATGAGATAGTTTGCCAGTGGAAATAAGATAATTAGATAACATGCACTTTAAATACGACAAACCAATTGTGTTTTCTTATTTTAAATGTAAATTTTCTTGCTCCATTGGCAAATGTATCTTTTACCTCCTCAATCCAAGAACAAATGCATTTATTTTAAGAAAAAAAAATGACTTATCTAGATTTTGATTTTTTTTCTAGTGTTAATAAATTCATGACTGCTAGGTTTGTTTTTTTCTCTATCTGCTATATTCTAACTTCACCTTTTGTCCTCCACAGAGCCAGACTTTCTGGGTATGACAAAGGTCCATGAGAGGGTACTGTAAATTAATTAATATTTAGTTTTTGGCTGCCTTAGGGTTTAGTTTCTGTTCAGTTATTTCTCCACCTTATAGATAAATTGAGAAGGAAACAGTGCCTGAAGTGAAGGATGATCCAGTGCTTACTCAGATAAATAGCATCTATAGCTTTCTTATCTGCAGTCTTTCCAATTTCTTTTAGGTGAAAAAAATCCCCAAAATAACAAACAGTAGGATTGAACGACTCAAAAGGAGAAACTTTTTTACTGATTGGATGTTTATGTTGTGGGGTTCTGGTATGCATCTGATTTAGTCACATAATTGACCTATTTGTACATACCACACCAACTCTTTATGAAAACATCAGCGCTTTCATTAGAACAACAAAACGTTACAAGATACAAAGGTGTTTTTGGGCCGGGCTCAACAATGCAGTAATGTAAGAAGCTGAAAGCTGGCTGCTTCACAATGTGCAGCCTGCTTTTCTTATCGGTAGGCCTAGATTTTACTGAGGAGGACAAAACATCTCCAAGGACCAGCAGGACACATGATACCCATTAACATACTGTACATGTGTGATGAATGGTAGACATGATTTTAACTATGTTCTTATAGTTTTTTTTTTAACCCTGAATGTTAAACTTCTAATGAAATTCCACTCAGAACATTTATCCCTCTCATATGGCTATGCTCTGGATCCTGATGTCAATGTGTGATGATAGATACAGATAAAAGTTGCCATAGGATGATGTACCTGAGTTGACTAATGTGTTGACCTATGCTTGTCTCCAGTGATCAACAGGAAGGATGCAGGTTACTCTGTGGACAGGTCAGCAGTCCATCTGATTCAGAGTGGATCCAATCAGCCCTTTCAGGATAAAACACTAATGTTTACCTTTCAGACTGATCTCTTGCTGGAAAAATGCGAGTTCCTAAACAGAGAACAGATGAGATCATTCTGAGCAGACATCAGCAAGCAGGGAGCTGATTTCTGACCAGAAACTGTCAGACCTCGGAAGGCCACTTCTCCTGTCAGGTTTTCTGAAAGGAGGAGTGAAGGACAGGAGGAGGTTTACAAGGAAACTAGAGACGTTTCCTTGTTAACCTGAGTCAGCTTTTATCTTTAAAAGTCCATTGAAAACCAAGCTGGGAGAAAATAAAAGAAGACAAGTGGAAGAATAGTTAACCCTGATAATTGTCCTGGTTTCCACAGTGGGTGGTACCTACCCACTGAGGCCAGGTGTCCTCATTTCTATCGTATCTAGGCGTTTGCTGCACTGAACAAGAAGACGGACATTCCTGGGAGGGAGATCTGACTGATAATTTATAGATGAGTCTCACTCATTCCCACAGACTGCCACTCTGGGATTGACACAATGTCAGCCCGCTCTCCCCGAGAAAAATGCAGAGAGTGAATTTCCCAATTTTGGGACAATAAATGAGAACAGACAGTACATAACAGAAGTATTCAGAGCTTACAAAACCATCAACCATCAATGATGTTTTTACTTTCTCTAAAGTTATAGTAACGAACATATGTGTTAATAGGGTTGGATGAGGAACATACATTTTTAGGGCTTGCCATTTGAACATGAGTTTCACCTAAACCTTTCAGTTGTAGTTTGGGCTATTTGGCTGAAAAGTGAACTTCCATCACAGCCTCTAACTGACTGACTGGTGGATTGGCTTGATTTGCACCACATGGAGGTTATCAACTAAGAGAAAATAAATTAGTTAGTCAACTAGTAAAACTGTTGTCCTTTTAGGGAAACCAGCAGACTTTTTCAGATGTTGACCTCAGCAAAGCTCTTATTTTGACCAAGCAAAGGAGACAGTGGAGGGAAAAATTCTTGGGAAAAGAGGAAAGACCTATTCTGTTTCTTTTTTTGTTCATTTCAGTTGTTAGTCGTTTATTCAGCTCATAAAACAAAGACTTCAACAGAGCTGATGAGCTAAATGTTGCTTTTTACAGTAAACATAGAATCAAATTGTGAGACAAAAGTTAAAAGCATCCACCTCATTTTTATACGGAGAAAAGAATGCAGAAATAAATACGTGTGCAAATGCAGAAATACAGAAACAGTTTTGGTAAGAAATAACTAGAAATAAATTAATATATAAATGAAAGTAGATATAACCACAAAAAGGAGAAAATGAACAAATATGTTCATAAATGAATAGAGATAAAAGAAAAAACAGAAAAGAATAAGACTGTTTCATAATAAAATACATATTTTCTATTTATTCACTTATATATGCAGTTATTTATTTTGAAATTTACACATTTCTATGTGATTATCAGGGGTTCTGCAGTTCTGATCCAATTCTATTTTTTTTCCTGAGCTAAACCAACTATCTTTAAAGGATCTAGATTAGCTTTAGGACAAACGATGCCAATCTATCACAGAGATGAGTGGGTGGAGGTTAAAGGGGGCGGCTGTGTGTGTATTGACAGTGTTGGCAGAACTCAGCTGCAGACTGTGGACCCTCTGCAAACATAGGTAGTTAGTTATTAACACAATCGAAGCAGTCAGAACCAGCGTCTCTGCCTACAGCCTTAACTCTTCATCTGTAAGTAAAAACAATATGGTGTCTCTGGAAGCAGCTTCCTTTCTATCTCTGTGTGATGATGAAATGTTGTTGTTAAGCTCAGCTGGCCTGGAGTTCTCCAGACAGGAAACTACAGGCCGTGTTGTAATTGTATTCATAGGCCTTTGAGTTTCCAGCTAAAATAGATCAATACGGCAGGAATATTCCCCTGCAGCTGTTTGATTGTTTTAAGCAACAGGAAGAATATTTACTCTTAGTGATGGGTGGTTTGCTTTTTGTACCCTTTTGAGCCTCACTATTAGCCATCTTTGATACATACATCCCATCAGCAGACTGTGTTCGACTTTGCTTTGTGTCGGTGAAGACCCTGTTTCATCTGAGGCCATGTTTCGCCCTGTGTTCTATCTGCTGGTCTGCATCGCTCTGTGGTCAGCATCAGTCATTAGTCTCTCAGGTGGGTTTTTTATCAATATTTTAAACAAAAATAAAACTTCAGAGTTGGAGACAGAAGGAACTGTAAAGTAAATATTGAAAGAAACATTGAAACATTCTTTTTAAGCATTCAATTCATTACAGCAAGCTAAAACTGTATAAAACAACTCAGATCTACTGCGGCTTGGTATTTATCATCATAAAAAGGCTGACCGTTGCGATCAAACAGGGTTTAAACGGGAACATACAGTGTTGGGAACGTTACTTTTAAAAAGTAATAAGTTATAGTTACTTCTCCCAAAAAGTAACTGAGTTACTGAGTTAATCCACAGTAAAAGTAACTAGTTACTAGTAAAAGGAATCAGAATCAGAATCACCCATTCTGATTCCTGGTTGAGGTACCAGGAATTTAATAATAATAATCCCAGGGAGAAATTACTTTCGTTACATGACTCCATATGTAATAGAGTGACTATGGGACCAGTTTGATATAATGCAGTTTAATACAATATATTATTAGGGAGTCTCCTCTCCATCTCACCATCAGTTTAGGGGTCCTTGGCCTGGAAAACGTTAAAGAGCCCTGCATTCAGAATTCAGAGACCAAAGGTAAAAGTTTTACAGGTTTATTGTAGGTTAGCAAACACTGATGGAGATTGAACTCTGTGGGGAAACAATGCTGGAACTCAGCGGACTGGTGAACCGGAACTGGAAACTCTGACGTGGAGATCACAGTGATCAGTTCAGGGACAGTGGGAAAAGAGACTGAGACTTGAATATTGCTGGAGAGGCACTCACTTTTGGGGGGCTCTTGGTTTATCCTTGGATCCAGTTTGTGGGGGTTTAATCCAGAGAACAGGGAACTCGTTGGAGAGCGGACAGGCAGACATACGTTGGACCCAGAGGAGTAAAGGAGCGGACTGCACTTGGTTTTCCAGGAGTGGAATTGAAAGGATCATGTGGAGGTTTTCCCCTTGCTCAGTGAGACTCAGTAAATCCTCCCAGGGGTAGAAGGTCCAGGCTTATCCAGTAACACAGGAAGTCTTCCTGCTGAAGAACAAAGACAAAAAACAAGTTAAGACTCAGAGAAACAATGCTAAGGTTAGACTCTGCTAATCTCAGTTTGGCTAGACAGCCCACTGCTCCTCTGGTAATGACCCAACGAGCCGCAGGTGTGCAGGGAGGCCCAACGAGGACAGTGCACCACCTGGTGGTGGAGAGAGGAAAACACATAAAACAACCCACACAAACAGGAATACTAACAAAAAAATAAGAATTTAATGACTTAATGATTTTTAATAACCCACGTAAACCCTGATCAAAGCAGGAGTTCTAGAAATTCAGTGGACAGAACCAAGCAATGTTAAGTAGGAAGGACATCAACAATAATCTTAGAGAAACAACTGTTTCCATCCATTCATCTGGGTGTGATATTGGGTCACTCCTAAACCGTCTGAGCCCCAATGTTCTACAGATGGAAAGATTATTCCCAAATGGAAAACATCTCACACAGCTACCAGTCCAAATTAGCCATACCATACCAAATTAGAATCCCATCAGATTTTCCCCAATGTAAGTGTCAGGATTTGGTACCAAAATGCAGAGGCTGAGAGGCAGAGATGAGTTCTTGAAGTTTTTAATGAATCAACACAGGTAACAGAGGCAGGAATCCAAAATCCAACTTAAAATGTAAAACTTAACCAGAACCATGCAGAGATCAGGGAAAGGCGAGGAGAGAGGAGCTAAGACAAGAAACCAGTACTGAGGAACTGCACAAGGAGAGTATTTATGCGAGACTGAACAAAAAGGGGACTAACGAGCTGAATGGGAACAGGTCTGAACAGAGGATTCTAGAAAGGAGCTAGGGAACAGGAGACCAACACTGGAGGGTAACAGAGGGCAAAAAATAAAAACCTAAGAAATCAAATATATCAAAAAAAAAAAAAAAAAAAGATTGGAATTAAACCAATAAAAATAGAAAACATGGACCACAGCAAAATACTCAAAAGAAAACATAGCAGAACCAAGACTGCGACAGTCAGAGTGTGAAGCTCTGTTTAAATATAAAGATAATAAAGGATTGTAAAGAAAAAGATCAAAGAAGCATTATTTGTTTGGATGGGTTGAAGAAAAACACATCTTCTCTAAAGCAAACAGGGCAATTGAATTGTTTGGATATAACTCCAACCACCAACCATTGTGCTCAGTGGTGGAAGCATGATTATCTGGGATGCATGGGGCCTCAGCAGTCAACCATTGATTTCTCTGTATACCACATTATTATACAGTCAGATTATGGCAGATTAGATTTGAATTAACAGCTAAAAGAGAAGAATGAATGAAAATTATGCCACAGTGATTTGAAAGGATCAGTAAGAAAACCTCTGCCGCAGGAAGTCCTAAACTGGTGGATTAGAGGACACACTGAGTTTAGACACACTATTACAGGGCTGTCAACTCTCACCCATTGGAAGTGAGACTCATCCATTTCAGTGTCTTCAAACACTCTCACTCCATATTCCCAATTTCTCACACTAAAAAGGATCACATCCAATGGTTTGTTTTCTCTTTACCGGGTGCTTTTTTTAGTCCCAGTTTTAGTCAATTTTTTGCACAAGTTAAATAATTATTGCTCAGTAATTACACCAACACAAATATTTTAATTCTTAAAGCTTCCAGGTTTTTCTCTCAAACCTATAGGAGATCCACAAAAAGAAAAAGAACCATTGTATTTTATTTTTCAAAAGATCAGCGACCCAAGTACCCAAATATTCATACACAGTGTAGTTTGCATAGGTTTCGATTGCACTGGTTCCTATCAGTGCCAGTAATCTAGTAATAATTTATTAGTTCCCGATTGTTTAATTTACTTGAACCGCAGAGAATAATTACAGATCAAAGTTGTGAAATTCATAGTTTATTTAAGTTGCAAGTATATTTAAAGTATATTTAAGATGCAAGTATCAATTCTCTAAAAAACCCCAGAATATAGAAAACTATGTATGTTGTGAGAAAAATGTTCCACCTTACTATAGACCACTTATTGTTACTCAGTACCATTTCCTGTGCTATCAAAATTCCTCATTTTGCCACTTTGTTTCAGTTAAATCCTCTGAAAACCTCCTACCTATAGCTATCCTCATCTAACCCTGACAGGGTTTCCTGTCCAAACTATTTCAAAATCTCCCCCCAAGGTTTGGTGAAAGGTTGGCAGCCCTGCTATCAGTTTCACAAAGCTTTCAATTTTTTTAATGAAGACATATTATAAATAACATTTTCATAAAAGTTTAGATGTGACAATGTGAAGTTTAACACTGGATTTAGGATCCAGTCTAATTAGCTTCCCTCAGATTTGGCAAAAGAAGACAAATCCAGCTGAAGGATCAAATCCTGATAAAACATTTCCAGGTTTAATTAAGCTCAGAACAAAAAGGCAATGAGATAAAGCAAGTGACTTATATCTACAGTCTGATCCTCGCTGTCTGTCCAGTGTTCTCAGACGCCCCAAAGGCTCATATGCTGCTCCGGTCCCGCCGGGCCAATAGCTTCCTGGAGGAGATCAAACCCCCCTCCATGGAGCGCGAATGTGTGGAGGAGAAGTGTGACTTTGAAGAAGCCAGAGAGATTTTCCAGACCCGGGAGGCTACAGTAAGTTGATGATTCAATACCATTTGCAACAAAATATGATAAAAAAATTACATTCATATACATAGTTGAGCTTTAAAGTTTACATACCCTACAGTACCATTAAATAATATAATAAATTCACACTAGTAACTCAAATAACAAAAGAATCAAAAAAGTAATAATAAATAATTTATTATACTAAATTATAATTTAGTATGATTATTTTTGAATTTTTTGTTTAGAAAATAATACTAAAAAACAAACTGTTGCAGACAAATTCAAGAACTTTTTCCTGCCCTTCAAGCCCAAACATGTTTAATATAACAAATTTGGATTTTATTTGTGATGTTTTGATTTTTTTCCAGCTGGAGTTCTGGACTGTCTACACTGGTAAGTTGTTTCAACATCAGTCTTAACATTTTCAATTAGGTTTAAAGATATGTAAGAAAATATGTAAGTCAGACTTTATAATGGTGGACAAAACAACACACAAGTAATCCTTTGACAGCTCATGTATATTTAAACTCCAGGACAGGTTGCTAACTGAGTATCTGGAGAATCCTGTGGCTCATTGATTTATTCTATAAAGACTGGAGTCTGAGCTGATCTGATAAAGTTCCCAACATTTGGCTTTTGCATCAAAGTGAAACCAAACCTGTTTTTTCTGCCCTAGTCTTTCACTAATGCAGCATCCCTGCAGCTCATCCCACCTACATAACAATGAGCAATTCTGACTAGAAAACTCTTACTGCAAATTATTGATTGACCTTAGAAACCAAAAAATGTAACTGTTTTAAAATAATAACAATTTTAATTACTGAACCAAATTTTGTAATAAAGCTGCTGTAAATAATAGCCCTGATTTGTGCTGCTGTGATTTGTGTTTCAGATGGGAACCAGTGTCAGTCCCACAAGTGTGATCATGGTGCTTGTATGGATCTTTATCAGACCTACAAGTGCATCTGTTACCCAGGATACGAGGGCAAATACTGCGAATACAGTGAGTCTGACTTTCTACCTGTTGCACAAGATGTAAGACTTCAGGAGTTCAGATCTGGTTTTAGACTTCATAGTTAGAATCAGGCTGGATGAGAGGTGTTGACAGTGTAATTTAAGGCCTATCCTCACCTGTAACAAAAGTACTGCATAAAGAGAACATACGTAAAAGTCAATTCAATTCAGTTAATTTATATAGCACCAATTCACAGTACATCATCTTCACAGTTAACCAGATCATACAGTCAAATTGATTTAAAGTTTTCTAAGAAAAACCACTTGATTGCATCAACTCATTGACTCGAAGGCATTCCCTCACACTAGATTAAGCATGCTTGTAGCGACATTGGAGAGGGAAAAATCCCTTTTAACAGGAAGGAACCTCCAGCAAAACCAGGCTCAGTGTGAGTGGCCATCTGCAGAGGCCGACTGGGGTTTAAGGAGACAAAAGGAACTTTGGTACTGGAGGAAAACCTCCAAAAACTCTTTTTCTTTAGATTTTCTTAGAGAAACAAGCATTGGAAAACAAAAACAGACAAAATATTTCCTGAGCTGTATATTTAATCTTATATAACTGTGTACAGTATTTTTGTCTTTTTATGTTGTAATGTTTTCTCTTCTTAGCTTTGTCTAAATCTTTCTACTTAGTGTTTGCATGTCACTGGTATAAGGGAATTTTCTCCCTGATGAATAAAGGATATTTTTTAGTCCCTTTATAAGGAACAAAATTCATTTTGTCTAACAGTGAACATAAATGCACAACATCTACAGAAATTTTGTTTCAATTTAGTATAAAGTCCCTATAAAATAAACTGCACATTTGCAGATTCCATACATAAAACAGAGTGGCATGTGATTTATCATGTTCAGCTGCCTGAAGTAAAAACGCTTCTGATCTGCTGAAATTTCACCAATTATTATTTACAGTTGGCCAAATGTTTCGGGAAAAGCTATCTAAAAGTGAACGTTGCTTAATAACATATCACCTAAAGTAAGTTCCACATTTTTTAAAGAAAACCTTCAGGCCCTCTGGTCTTCGTTTCTGTCATGTTACCTGAAAAAGAAGCTGTTTTTCTAAAGTAATATTTTATTTAGCCACCACTGTGTTTACACCAGGTTGGTGTGTAGCACCATCTGCCGACTGAATAACAGAATCTGTCAAATTTACCAGAAACTAGGCCCTAAAAATTACTCTATGTAAGCTAAAAATGAAAAGCACTAATTAAAAGTGTTAATTTCATATTTTTTAAACACTATATTCTTTTTTTTCCCCCACTATCTGTTATTTATTGTTTTAATTTATTTACACTCTCACTGAAAACTTCTGTAAGATCCATATTTTTTTGGCATTCAGATATAACAGCCACAAACTGCACCGTGGATAATGGTGACTGTGACCATGAATGCATGGAAAACGAGGACGGCCAGGGGAGGAGCTGCAGCTGTTTGAAAGGATACAATCTGGAGAACGACTCCAGAAAGTGTAGCCCGAAAAGTAAGAATGCAAAAAAAAAAAACAGATTTCTACATCAAATTAACTGACAAAAATAAGATGGCTCTGATGATTCCTTAATGCAACATTTAGAGAACGCTTTTCCCAAAAATTTTTTAAACCAATGCTTGTCTGTCTATCCAAGAATTTAGAAAACTGTCATGTCCTTCAAAGTCCCTGGTGTCTAATTTAAAAATGCTGCAATAAATCATCTGTAGCAGTAGGTAGAGAAACACTGACATTGGCAAAAAGAAATATCCTCAGCATGGCTTAAGCAGTGCTAGGCTAAACTTAGCTGTTATTGTTGTGATTTTGACTTTGAAGTTAAGAATATTAAGTCACTATAATGTCACACCCATCGTAACCTTTTTTTAATGACAAACTGGGGAACCAGTGGGATCTGCCTAATACTCAAAGATATGAGATGATATATATATATAGTTTATATACTGGAGCACCCTGTTAGTAACCTGACAACAGCCAGATGCATGTCTAGCTCCGCCTAGCTCCACTCACATACATCTGGGACACCGCTCATTGAAAGCGATTTCCCCAACCAAATTTATGGTCTGGCCAATCAGGACGCAGGGCGGGTGTTTCCTGGATGTGACGTAGTGGAGAAGCGACCGTGAGATTCCAACAACAATGGCGGCTCACATCGAGGAAGCAAGCGTTAGCATTGATGCTGCTATTTCTTCTGTGTTTTCCAATCTATCTGATATTGTTTCATTAAAAGAACATCAGAGAACGGCTTTGAAGGTGAAGCGTCACGGGTTAGCTTCGGTGTGAGTGGTTGAAATAGCACAGCGATAAAGATGACGGACAACTGGCTTATCCAATCATATGCAAGGAGTTTTGATAAGGCCCAGCCTTCAGTAAAGGCAATTCCTAACGCGGTGTCCCAGACGTATGTGAGTGGAGCTAGGCAGAGCTAGACACGCATCTGGCTTTTATCAGGTTACCCTGTTAGTGCATAGATGGTAAACAATAACATGAGTTTGGATAATTTAGGGTGTTCCAGGCGGACAGAAGTGGAAATAAAAAAGGTCAGGGTTGGTGAAAAATATTTTTTTTAGTCAGAATTGTAATTTTAGGGGAATTAAAGTAGATTTTTGTCAACTAGAAATTTTGAAAATTCCAACTTTAACTACAACTGGAATGAGGGACTTTAATGGAGATCTTGTTGAACAAATCTAATCGTTAGAGCTTTTAGAATACAAGTTTAATCAACTGGTGTTTCCTTTTTTTAAAGAGGAAGTAACCAGTGGTGTCAAAAGTACACACATTTGTTATTTAAGTAGAAGTATAGATACTGCAGTTTAAAAACACTCTGGTAAAGGATGAGGGAGGTCTTGTTGGTCTCCATCTCAAGATACGTTCTCGCCTGTGTCCGAACTTTCAGACATTCAGACATTTTTTTCTGAATCCGACATTGTAGCATGGCATAGATAATAAATGCAGGTTGAACAACACCTGCTTGCTTCTGATGATTTCCTTTGGCGTCAGCACAAATTTGACCAATAGCTAACCAATGAGTGTTTGCATTAAATGACCCATCCAATTCCACTAATTTTCACTAGATGTGGATGGTGCCAATGATCTGCATTGGATGGCTCACAAGTGTCATGATTGGCTTAAGAGACTTAACCCAATTGCAGAACACCAGAGGAAGCTGAGTAAAAGTTTAACAGAGTTTATTGAGGAACACACAGTAATAATGAACTGGTTCTGGTACAGGTCCGGGACTGGAATCACTGATTTCTGCAGAGAAGGATAGTTTGATTAGCCAGGCAGTTTAGATTGCTTGTCGAATGTGTTAATTCAGAATATACCTTGAAGAGGTTCTGACAGGTCCTTTGAGAGGTGGGGAACCGGTTGGGTCCAGAGACTGTAGATTCAGCAGGGAGCTCAGCAGCAGCAGAGTCTAGCTTCAGACTTGTGAGTTTCTGACCATCACTGATATCTTGAAGAGGTTCTGACAGATCCTTTGAGTGGGGGGGGGGGAACCGGTTGGGTCCAGAGACTGTAAATTCAGCAGGGAGCTCAGCAGCAGCAGCGTCTAGCTTCTGACTTGTGAGTTTCTGACCTTGACTTGGTTTCCTAGCTCTTCCTTCAGAGCTGTTGGAGGAATCCAGACTAATATCTTCAGGTTTGGCTCCCTTGGGCAGGCAGGCAGGCTTCCAGACAAAGCTCATCCAGAGCTTCAGACTTCAGTCGGGTTTTCTGTGAGCAAAGAAGACAGAGGCAGGTTAGAATCTAGTTTCTCTCTAGAGCCAACTAAGATTCTCTAAAATTAACAGAAGCTCAGGTTTGCTAACCAAACTTGGTCAACACTGCAGTCAGACCGTCGAAGGAGGGTCTGACTACTGCTTATGTAGAAAGGTCTCCTGATGGGTTGATGAGCTTCAGGTGTGCTAGAGGCTCCAGCCCAGGAGACCCACAGCGCTCTCTGCTGGAGACAGATGGTAGATCTCCAGATCCCAACAGCAACCCCAGTCCCTAACAGAAAACATATAACAGAAGAGGCTCCTCGGCGCCCTCTGGTGGGCAAGCCTCAGGATCCCAACAGAAAGAGGTGAAATAAATATTTATAAACATTAAACCAAATAGTAACGAGTAGCGTTTGTTTTAAAAATGTAAGGAATAGAAAGTACAGATACTTAAATGAAAATGTAATGAGTAGAAGTCAGAAGTAGGAAGAAAAATAAGTAATGGAGTAAAGTATAGATACCTAAAAAGTGTACTTAAGTAGAGTACAGAGTATTTGTACTTCCTTACTTGACACCGCTGGAAGTAACCAACCTAAATATCTGTTAAAACGTTTAATCCTGCAGGTACTTCATCTTGTGGTCAGATTCTGATCCACAGGTCGGAGTACAGTGAGCCTGTGGAGGGTCTGCTGCCATGGACGCTCGGAGGGGAAGTGGGCAAAAAAGGGGAGAGCCCTTGGCAGGTAGCTAACCTATCAGACAAATACATTTAACTATTTAACTCTTTATGAAAATTAAACGATTTGACAGCTCCGCCTCAGGTTTTTATGGTTTGGTAAAGTTTCCTAATCTTTTCCAACAAGATTCCAAAGAATCTTGTGACTGAGCTTCTCCCTTCTCATTTGTTAAATGTCTAAAGCTAAAGTTTTAAATATAGAACGATTTAACCATCACTAGGACAGAGTTAGAGTACAAGCGTTTGGCTGAGTAAAGTTTTCTTGCACTTGAAGACGCCAATAGAGACAGAGCTGCATGATGAACCTGAATCAGATAAACCTATGATACAGTTTAGTAAATTATTAGGAAAAAAATGTAGACAAGCTAAGGAAAAACAACCAATAGGATATATTGTGGTTATAAAGAGATACTGGAGGCATGTAGTGCATCACCTAAAGTTAATTACCATTGAAAAAAAAAATATGCCCAACTGAAATGAATCATTAAGGTTAAAATTTTGTTCAAAAGAAACACTAAATCTCAGAAATGTGAACTGAATATGTGAGTAAAATCTTAGCAGTTTGTTTTCAGGCAGGCTTTCTTAATATTCAATCATTTAGGTGCTTCTATTGAACGAGAAAGGGATTTTTCACTGTGGAGGAGTCCTAATTGATGAAAATTGGGTGCTGACGGCTGCCCACTGCCTTCAAAACACCTTCAAGTTCAGCGTACGGCTTGGTGAGTTCTTCAGCTGCAAGCATATAGGAAACTAAAAACTCATCAGTCTCATCCATTTACAGACCAGAAATGAAATAATGACAGAGAAACAAGCAGGAAACAAAACAGCTTTTAAAAATCCATCATGATGAACAGTCCATTAGGTTTTCTATTTTATCGCTGCATCTTTCATGCTCATCCTTACATCAGCTTTGGAGAGTCATGCAACATACCCTGAAAATATTAAGCTGCAGTAACACATTTTGCTATCTTGGGAAGGATATTTTTCAAAGTAAGAAAAAGTTCTTAAAGTAAACATGCATCTTTATGCACTCATGCAAATGGTTCTGCTATGTCATGTAGCATTTCAAAGATTTGCTATTCAATTCAGTTCAATTTAGTTTATTTATATAGCGCCAATATCCAACATGCAATCTCAAGGCACTTTACAGTTTACCAGATTATACAGTCAAATTGATTAAAAGTTTTCTATCTAAGGAAAACCAGTTGATTGCATTGACTCATTGACTCGAAGGCATCCCCTCACACTAAGCATGCTTGTAGCGACAGTGGAGAAGAAAAACTTCCTTTTAACAGGAAGAAACCTCCAGCAGAACCAAGCTCAGAGTGAGCGGCCATCTGCCGAGGTCGACTTGGGTTCAAGGAGACAGAAGCAAAGATACAACAGGCAACTGTAAAGGTGGCCCCATCGAGGAAACACACAGCCAGGCATACGAGCTCCGTGCCAGCTACCATGTCGGGGTATGAAGAGAGCACATCCAGCCAGTAATAGTCAGAGAAACAGGACTACACTGAAAAACAGGCCAATCTCAAACATCTAAAAACAAGGTGTTGATGCATTAAGTGCATTCGGTGGGCAGATAACTGTAAACCAAATTCATTGATGCCACTGGTCTAATTGCCACTGGTCATTGCAGCATCACTTGAGTTGTGTTTATTGTAATGCAGCAAGGCGTAGTAAACACGGTGGGAGAGGATTTTTACGCATGTCCAGGAATCTGTAGCTACCAGGTTTAAGTAGGCATAGTATTGTTTTTTCTAAGGATTTATGTTTTAATAGCCATTAAAAAAGAAATGTTACAATGTGACAAGAATGTTTGTAACTCTTACCTTTATTGATCATCAAATTTTATTTTTCCCAGGTGACTATGAAAGATTCAGGAATGAAGGCACAGAGGTGCTTCTTAGAGTCACCAAGACCTTCAAACACCCTAAATACAACAGCATGACGGAGGACAACGACATCGCCCTGCTGCGTCTGCAGTCCCCTGCTCCTCTTTCTAAATACATTGTCCCGATCTGCTTACCAGGACGCTCCTTGGCGGAGAAGGTGCTGCACCTTAATGGCACCACCACTGTGGTTACAGGCTGGGGCAAAGATGACACCGGGAAGCTTAGCTCAGCACTGAACTTCATAAAAGTCCCACTGGTTAATCACAGCTTCTGCAGGCAGCAGATGTTTCCCCATGACCTCACCAACAATGTCCTTTGCGCCGGAATTCTGGGTGAGAGAATTGATGCTTGCGAGGGAGACAGTGGTGGGCCGATGGTCACTCTGTACCGGGACACCTGGTTCCTGATTGGCCTGGTGTCATGGGGCGAGGGCTGTGGCATGGTAGATAAGTTGGGCATCTACACCAAGGTGTCCAACTACAATGAGTGGATCAGCCAAGTACAAGAAGAATGGGACAGACGTCATCATCCTCAATAACACAGAAACATCTAAAGCTTAAACAAATCATTTTATCTGTGCAATCAGACACAGAGGGCAAACTCAATGCATCAAAGATTTTTCAAAACTTTGTTTAATAAACCTCTTAACTCTAAAGAAGCTTGAGTTTGTCTGTTTACAATCTGTTTACTAAAACAATTTAATCATGATTAAATAGTTTCAGCCCTAACCAGAACTTCTGACTCTTCGGATACATCCAAACATGTTGTTTTACATGGTCAATTGCGCCATCATGGTCATCCTATTGGGCTACAGTCTACACTAGAGGTCACAGATTAGGTCCGGATCCGGACCTAACTGCTGGCTAATCTGGACCCAACCTGATTTATAAATTACTGCATGTTGTCCGACGGCAGTGTCTAACTTCACTTGAGCCGCTTCTCCTGTTTATATGGTAAAGGCCTCTGGAGTGTCCGACACCAGGCTGCACGTGATCCAAATTAGCCAATGAGCTGTCAGTCTGGGTTGCTGCTGCTAGCTACTTTTAGACACAGCTGGCAAACCTGTGGCAAGCCGGGCGATGGGAAAGAGGGAGAAGACAATGAGAAAAAGAGAGCAGAGAAAGTGTGGACTTATCCCAAGCGGGGTCGGGAGGGGTGCTGGTGTGTTTTTCCAGCTGTCTACGGGCGACACGGGGGTACACCCTGGACAGGTCGCCAGTCCATCGCAGGCCAACTATCGAGACAAAAATCCTATATTTTAGGCTACTGGTTGCTATTTTGGCGTTGGTTTTACGTGCGCTCAATTAAAATTATCATGTCGATCTTTACTTTGACTTATAATAAAGTAATTTATTATCAAAACAATGTCCATAGTTTTACTAATTGCCTTTCCATAAATACATAAATTCAAACACAGTAGAACATTGTTGCCTTTTCTCGTTAACAACACCAGAACAGAATCATGGTTGATCTTAAATAACCCCATCCCACATCAGACAATCAGAACTCAAAATATGAAATACGCCCCCTGGTAAACACAGGAAAGGACAAATGGCTCCCACAGCGACACAGAGACAAAAATAGACATACAACCATTCATGCACACACTCACACCTAAGGAGAATTTAGAGGACCCAATTAACCTAACAGTGATGTTTTTTGGACTGTGGGAGGAAGCTGGAGTACCCTGAGAGAATCCACACATGCTCAGGGAGAACATGCAAACTTCATGCAGAAAGACCCTGGGCCAGGAATCAAACCCAAAGCATTGTTGCTGCAAGGCAGCAGTGCTACCTATTGAGCAGTGACACCATGAACATTTTAAAAAATAAATATCGATCCAGCTCAAAAAGAGCACCTAGATAGGTGCTTGAGAATGGCTTTCAAATCCAGGTTTGAAGCCTTGAAGGGCAGCATAAAGCCCACTGCTCTCACTAAGCCATAAAAAAGAAAAACAAAACAGTCTGTTCAGGTGTTTAATAAAAAAGTGAGTCAGGAAATTGTCTATATACCAAACTTAAAGATTTTTGTTCTCTACTTACAAAACAAATTAGATTTTAAAATGGAAAAACATTTTACTAATTATATTTATTTAAAAATGCAATGTATAACATGGATGCAACAACACCTGCGTTTTATTTCAGGGTTAAATTCTGTTTAAAGTAACAGATTATAATTAAAAATGTCTCCGGACCTTTAATTGTTGTTCATTTTATTTATTGGGACCCCACTGATTTTTAATTGGTTACCCCTGGTCTACATAAACAGAAAATTATGCTGGTTTGTCAAATGCCTGTTTAAAGAATTTCATGCTACTAAAAATGCTGCATCTCCAAACCAACATTTAACCATAATTTGCTACACTTCGACTTTTCAGGAAAAATGGTTGCAGGTTCAACTCCTAGCAGTTGTGTTTTAACACTTTACAACACTGTAGATGGCAGAGTGGCTTCTAAGTCTCTGACATTTACTCTGTGATATATTTATATAATATTACCAACTAAACTGAATCTACTAATAATCCTTATAAAGACAGCAAAACGTTTTTCAAAGAACACTTTAGTAAAACGGATGTTTTCATAATAATTTGGATAGATAAGTAACTTCAACAAGAAGGTTTTTTTTTGCCCCATGATGGTTTACATTGTCTCACATCCCTGATGACAAAGCTATGAGATTTAAAGCTTCCTGTTTACCACAAAAAAAAACAGAACAAAAAAAAAAGTAATAAATCAAGTAATGATTTATTGGACTAAAGCTTTGACAATAAACAGTAGCAATGAATTAACTATAAGTAGGTTTGGTAAGGACAGAAATAACAGTTTTTCATTGAAACAAGCAAACAGGCATCAGCTTGTAATGTTAACATATAATCTATTTTACTCTTTTTATCATTTCATCCATTTAAATACATATGGACAGTTTCTCATTCAAGTGTTAAATAAAATTAAGGCGAATCTGTTTAAACTGAACACAGAGGACAGTAGATACATTTATTGCTTTACATTGAAGCTGAATAAAGAAACACCTGAGATTCATCACATACTATCATCATCTATAGCTACTTTGGATTCAACAAATAGGAACTTACTGAGCTTATTCGTGGCCGGGATCACAATTCATAGTCAAAATTTCTTCTGACACCAGCTTTTGCAGCTTTTCACATCTTTATATGTTTACAATTTGGTGTCCTTTATGGTTTTTAACACATGTGCTTCTGCCAACCTAAGGTTTTATCATAAATTAAGACCAAAGCAGTGTGCCAAGCCAACGAACGAGAAGCTGATGCTCTTTCATCAACATGTGTCAGCTTTTAAAGCTGTGCTTTGACTTAATGTGTGAAATGAAATATGTAGAGAAGTTTCAGGCTGTGTTTATGAATTTATGTTTAACTGATAAAGCACTGATCAACTGTTTTTGTGACTTCTCTGAAAGCTGATGAAAAAAGTCCAACTTTGCTTTAGTCAAAAATGATGCTATGATTAAATTTTTTTATAAACACCAAATTTGTTTGTTTTTTTATCTGCACTAAAGTTATCCACAAAAACTGTTTATCTTTTTCATTTTTTCTACCATGTTTAATTTTTTTATTTTTTTTTTATCTAGTCCTATAAGGCTTGGGCGTCATGACGTAATTGGCAGGATCCCAGTTTTTGTGTTCGTCTGTTTGTCTTGTCTTTTGTGTTTCTCCCTTCCACCACCAGGAGGCGCCTGGCTCCGGTTCTCCTCCTCACACACCTGCAAGCTGTTGCCTCATCACCAGACTGCTCTTAAGCTGCTTGTTGCCACTACTTTGATGCCAGAGTGTTTGCCAGTTTGGGGTACTCTAGCCAAGCCTTGTTATTCTGAGTCAATCAGAGTTTTTGCATTCAGAGCAATAGTTCTCTAGCCAAGCTGAGATCACATTGAGTTTTTACTGAGCGCTTGTTTTTCCTTGAGACTAAACTTTGTTTTTGTTTTTGCCTTTCGGCAGGAAGCCTTCCTGCAAACTGGACCTTTCCGGAACGCCTTCTCCCAAGTGGGATCAACTGAGTCTTATACTGAGCGACGGATTCCAAACAGGAGGTTTGGATCCAGTCATGTTTGAGAACGCTGAAATAACTCTCTGAGTAAGGAAATCATCTTCACCACGACCCGTTCAAGTACCACAGGAAAACTGAGTTGCAACCAGCGGCTGCATCATTCCACTCCATCCGAGTTCTGGGTAAACCCTGTTCCGCCCTCAACCGAATCAAACAAGCTCTGGAAGACCAACACACAGACTGGAGTCTAAGTGTCTCTTCTTCTCTGGAAACGTGAGTGGCAACTAATCCTCTCCTTCAAGATTAACAACTCGATTTTCCCACTGAGCTTGAATCTAACAGTCTGTCTTCCCCTCTTCTTCCAGTTTCCGGCTGAGCAGAGTTTGGAGGAACTCTGCACTGAACTCAAAATTATTTCAATAAAACCCGTTGAACTTTATTACTGTGTCTCTCAGTTTGACTTCACTGCATGTGGGTCCGAGCCTTAGAAAAATCATGACAGAACACGCTGGCCAAACCGCTGACCCTGCAGAAGCCATTCAGACAAACACCACAGTTTTTTCCTCGATCTGAGTAATCAACAGTCTGATTTAAACCGCCGAGTTACAGTGCTAACTGAGGCTGTACCTTTTTCCCTCCAGGCTTTGGGCCCTGCCAGAGAGCTAGCCCCGCAGCAAGCTAACCAGGTTGTTAATTTTTCCTCCTCCTCATACAGAGTGTCAACTGGCTAATCCCCCCAGGTTCGATGGGGATCCCAAGAAGTTTCGTGGATTTCTAATGCAATGTACCATCCAATTCAATCACGGTCCAAGTAAGTTCCTCCAGGATTTATCTAAAATATCATATATTATTTCTCATCTCACAGACCGAGCCTTGGATTGGGCTGAGGTAAGATTTTCCTCCTCATCCAATCATAAATGCACTTTTGATCAGTTTCTCAAAGAGTTTAAGCTAACTTTCAACCATGGGACTGACAAAACCCTCATCTCTCGAGAATTTTTGAAGCTTAAACAAGGACAGAAAACAGTTTCTGAATTTGCTTTAGATTTCCAAATTATGGCAGCCGCTACAGGCTGGAATGAAGCAGCCATAAAAGGTTTTTTTTCTCAGGCATTTTGTGAATCTATCAAGGATGAATTAGCCCTCTTAGACGAGCCCGAGTCTCTCGAGGATTTAATTAATCTCTCTATTCATTTGGATAATCGATTCGAGCCTGTGCTAAGGAGAGGAGTAGCAAGATGGCTCCTACCCAGTCTCCAGTAAACAATTTTCTTGTCAGACTGCCTGCTAGTTCTACTGCACCTGAACCCATGCAGATAGGTGGCCTTCGTTTAAGCCCTGAGCAGAAGCAACACAGAATGCTATCCAAACTCTGCTTATATTTTGGTGAGGCGGGCCATTTCGTAGCCTCTTGCCCTCTGTTGGGAAAAGCCAGGGTCCACCAGTAGAGAGAGGACTATTGGCGGACCAGAAGATTTCTCCCTCCTCACCTCGTCTTCTCCTTCCTGCATCATTACAGCTAAATAATAGATCCGTCTCTTTATCGGTCTTTATTGATTCTGGCTGTGATGAATCCAATTGACTCAACTTTCGCTCAACAGATGGGAATAGAGCGTATTCCTCTACAGAGTCCTCTTCGTGTTTTTGCCTTGGACGGCAGAGATCTGCCCCAAATAACCCATCAGGCAACACCTCTGCAGGTAACAGTTTCTGGTAACCACATTGAGAACATCTCCCTCTTTGTGTTCCCTACAGCTAACTCTGCCTTAACCTTGGGATTTGAATGGCTCCAGGCTCACAATCCCTCAATTAACTAGACCAACAGACATGTGGAGTCATGGTCTGTTGATTGTCACTCGCACTGTCTCAGATCTGCTGTTCCCCCAGGTTTCCTGGTTCAGGAACCCCTTGAGTCAGACACCATTGATGTTTCTTCCATACCTGCTGACTACCACAACCTCTCCCAGGTATTCAGTAAATCCAAAGCCTGTTCTCTGCCTCCCCACAGACCATACGACTGTGCTATTATCTACTTCCTGGAGCTCCTCTGCCCAGCAGCCACCTTTTGAACATCTCCAAGCCTGAGAGGGAGGCCATGGAGAAGTACATAAAAGATTCCCTTGCTACTGGCATAATCCGTCCCTCATCTTCTCCCCTCGAAGCAGGTCTCTTCGTGGGAAAGAAGGACGGATCCCTGCGACCCTGTATAGATTACAGAGGTTTGAACCAAATAACTGTAAAAAAACAAGTATCCTTTGCCTTTGTTGTCTTCAGTTTTTGAACCCGTCCAAGAAGCTACGGCTTTCACTAAGCTGGATCTTTACGCTTACCACCTTCTCCGCGTCAGGGAGGGAGACGAATGGAAAACCGCCTTCAAAACTCCCATTGGACACTTTGAGTACCTGGTAATGCCTTTCGGATTAACTAATGCTCCCGCCTGTTTCCAGGCTTTGGTCAACGATGTTCTGAGAGATTCGCCAACTTCTACAGAAGGTTTATCCGCAACTACAGTCAAACAGCTCTTCCTCTGACTGCTCTGACTTCCTCCAAGGTTCCCTTTGTATGGTCCCCTGAGGCTGAAGTAGCCTTCTCCCACCTTAAGAGACTCTTTGCTAATGCTCCAGTTCTCAGTCAGCCAGATCTCTTCAAACAGTTTGTGGTGGAGGTGGACGCCTCAGGTTCTGGAGTTGGAGCTGTTCTCTCCCAAGTTTCCGGTACTGATAACAAGCTACACCCATGTGTCTTTTTCTCTCGCAGGCTCACTCCAGTGGAAAGAAATTATGATGTGGGTGATCGAGAAACTTCTAGCCATTAAATTGGCTCTGGAAGAGTGGAGACACTGGCTTGAGGGAGCTGCACATCCAGTTTAGGTTTTGACGGACCACAAAAATCTCTCCTACATACAATCTGCTAAAAGACTCAACCCCTGTCAGTCTCGTTGGTCTTTATTCTTCTCCCGGTTCAACCTCTCTATCTCTTTTCGCCCTGGCTCTCGGAACGTCAAACCGGAGGCCCTTTCTAGGCAGTTTTCCCCGGACGAATCTGAAGAGTCGGCTGCTCCCATCCTGCCTCCTAGCTACTGTGTCGCTGCGGTAACCTGGGAGATTGAGGATTTTATCAAACAGGCCCAACAGACTGAACCAGATCCTGACACTGGGCCACCCAACCGTGTGTATGTACCTACCTCCTTACAAGCCTGAGTTATTAACTGTATGCATTCTTCCAAGTTCTCTGCTCATCCAGGGATTAGCAGAACGGTTGCCCAAATAAGTCGTCATTTTTGGTAGCCCTCCTTGTTGAAGGATGTCAAGGAGTTCGTTCTAGCCTGTCCCACCTGTGCATGCAACAAGCCCTCTCATCAACCACCTTCTGGTCTACTTCAACCGTTACCAATCCCCAAGCTACCCTGGTCTCACATCGCTATCGATTTTGTAACTGGACTCCCCACATCCAAGGGTATGAATACCATCCTCACAATTATAGATCGTTTCTCCAAGGCCTGTCATCTCGTGCCATTGAGAAAACTACCAACTGCCATGCAGACTGCATAGCTTCTTGTAGAACATGTCTTCAGCCTTCATGGGATTCCTCAGGACATTCTGTCTGACCCCGGCCCGCAGTTCATCTCCCAGGTGTGGAGGGGATTTTGCTCTGTGCTTGGGTCCAAGGTTTCTCTCACTTCCGGTTCAATCCAATGGACAGGTGGAAAGACTGAATCAGGAGCTAGAAACCACCCTCAGATGTCTTTCTGAATCAGAGCTTTTGAACTGGAGTCAACTTTTGAGCTGGGTGGAATACGCCCATAATTCTAATGTCTCTGCAGCTACAGGTCTATCTTCCTTCGAGATCTCCCTTGTATACCAGCCACCCCTGTTTCCCTCAGAAGAGGCAGACATCGCTGTTCCCTCCGTACAACAGCACATCCGCCGCTGCCGGACCTTCTGGAACCGGGCCAGGACGGCCCTGGGAAGGACCCATTGTGGAACTGATCACTGCCACTGAATCGGCCATCAGGAACAACAACCTGGCTGAAACAGAGGCAGAGCAACTCAGAATGAAGGTAACAGCTACCCTGTCCAGCGCCAAACCACCTCCTTCCAACCTCACACCCCAGGAAATGAAAGCCATAACATCCCTGAGCCAGGACCAAAGCATCACCATATTACCAGCAGACAAAGGAAGATGCACCGTAGTCCTCAACACCACAGACTACCAGGACAAAATTATCCCTCTACTAAACGACACTAATACGTATGAATCCTTGAAAAGAGATCCAACCAGCGGCTACAAAAAAAAAGAAAATAATAGACTATTTCAAACGACAAGGTAATTAACAGCACACTCTATCTCAGATTATATCCAGGGGAGGAAATTCCATGCTTATTATGATCAGTTCCACAATGGGTACTTCTTGTGGAGAAATGGCAAAATTCAGGCCTTTACTCACTACATCCATCTCTGGTTTTGTCATTGGTCTGCTAGATAGATTTTTGACCCACTTGTCTTCAAGCTTGATGTTGATGTTTTCCTCCTGAGTCATGTTGCTCTCTTGTTTAAATGCTGCTTTCTGTTGTAATCTTTTGAATTTGGCTTTTTGTCTTTCTTTTGTTTTTTGATGTTGTGAAAGCTTGACTTTATTGACAAACATGGCAACTTCTTTAAACAAGGTTTTGGGTAGAAGTTTGGATAGCTTCTGCCTTGTCTGATCTATTTTGCGCGAGAGAGCTTCAATTGTGAAGTGAGTCTGTCTAATCCTCTCACTAAGCAGCTTTTTGTGCGCATTCCTAAGAATCTCTTCTTCCCTTCTGCCCTATCACTGGCTAACGATGGAACCAAATGACCCAGTAATCGGTTACCATTTGCATGTTTCCAAGCGATACAAGGCTTTGTCTATACAAGATTCAAACTCACTGCGGATCCAGACATTTGAATTGAGAAAGCTTCCTGGAGAGGTGGCGAAACGTCTTCAAATCTTGGAAACCAAGTCCACTGGATATTTTTTGAATTTTTACGGAATAATTAATAATTCTCTATTTAATGTGTCCCGGTAAATCTCTCTACTTCTACGTCTCTTTGTTGAACAACAATGTTGTATCAGAGCTACGTTTACGTTCGTGTAGCCATCAACATGGCTGCCATGTCCCACAATGCAACGCGGATCCCAAGGCCTATTCACCATCATTTTTACACAAACTGGAAGGTTTACACATCTACTGTTGACATAGAAACTGCAACTCAGCATTTCCTTCCACATTATTCCAATAAACGTTTACAGGGAAGGAATTAAAAAAAAGAAAATTAATAGAAATAGAATTGTGTTGTAATAATTTACACAGTACAAATTAAAGTTCTGGTTCGTTTTTTTTTTTTGTTTGTTTGTTTGTTTGTTTTGTTATTTGAAATGATATTACCTGGAAAAATTAGCAGCTTCTTATAAGATACAAAGTAGGAAATATTTCACTGATGTTTGGGGAATTTGACAGAAAATAAAACGAAGATTGAAAACATGTTAAAAAATGGAGGCCATCTGTGCGTTTATCACATGGCATCAATTTTAGATGATTTTTAAAAATGTATTAAATTAAAGCTGATCGACTCACAGGTAGAACTTCTTGAATACTAGAACTTCTTCACAATCATACACAATCCATCTGAAATACATAATTATATATATATATATATATATATATATATATATGTATATATATGTATATATATGTATATATATATG